GCAGGAAAAGATTTGAAGAAAGAAGAGCATCTCAGTGGGACTCTACTGTTCCTTGCAAGAGAAGACCAGAGCACTAGGATTAATAGCTGCAATGCAAATGAGTTCTGGGCTGTGCCAGCAGGAGTGATGCTGCTGTTTTTGATGCCCTCAGACTGCCTGTTCTGTCCTTAAGTGTGATTGCTCTTGAGACAGCAAAGACTTCTTAACTCATCTCTTCTCATGCTAGTATGGAATAGTATCCTAGGAGCGAAGCATTGCCTTTTCAGTGTTTGGATCATTTCTATTTATGTCTCACCTATCCTTTCACTTGTGTGATTCCTCCACTTGCTGATCTGTCTCTTTCCCAGGGGAACTCTTGTGATGTCAGGCATAAATGTCTTGTTTCTCAAATTCTTCTAGTCAAAGCTTTATAAAAAGTTAAATCAGTAATTTCTTCTGTTAGTAGTTGCATCTTGGAAATTCTTGTTCAGCTGTCCAGTTTCCCCGCTGAGCTGTTGCTCAGACAAGCTGTGCAAATTTCCAGCTCTTCAGATATTTTCATCCTGAGCTGACCTCCTCAAGCCTTTAGAGAGGGACACAGAATGAACAGCAGCATAGCAAATGTGACAAAAGCACGAATAGTAGTGTTTGTGCTCTCTCCAGTGGATCTAGACCAAAGTCATACTGGCTTCTAGTAATTTGCTTGAACCTCTCAACATTAATACTTCTGAATCATTTCACATCTCCCCTAACACTCCCTTCCTTAGATTATATTAGCTTGCTTTCTCAAAAGTAGGGCTTTCTGTCCTGCTTCTACTGACTTGCTTTATTTGTGTCCTGACTTCTGTTCAACTTCTCCCAAATTAGCCTTATCTGCGAGTTTTGTTACAATGCAAGTTTACTTCCTCTTCTAGCTCTCCTGAAAGATAGAAAAATGCTGTAAGTCTTTGATGCATCAACCAACAGTCAGTTTTAAAATTTTCTTCTTATTCTACATGAATCCTATATTTGGTGCCATCTTTAAGCCAAGTAGGTTGGCAAAGAGCTATTTTCTTTATCCATACTTGAAAGATAAGATTTCCTTTTTTTCCCTTCCTTACACAGATGATGATCTGCCTGTGAAGCCCAAGAAGGAATGGATTCACATGGACAATGTGGAATTTGAGAAGCTGGAATGGATGAAAGATTTGCCCTCACCCCGACAGAAGAAAACCAAAAAGGTTTGAGAACAGAATCTGGTATTTTTCACATTTATGCCTGGATCATGCTTGTCAGCAGTGACAGTTTTGAAGGCTTCAAAAACTAGTCCTCTGGTTACTCAATCTGTAAGATTTCACCAGGCTGAAAAGTGCCCGAGTTTCTCCCGCAGGGGTACGATGGGACATGGTCAGTTCAGTCTGTAGTGCTCAAGAGGGTGAGAAAGTGAGAGTCTAGCAGTTGTAATCTGAGATGAAACAGGTCTGAAAGCTAAGAAAAAAGGAGAGAAGGGAGTAAATTTTTTTAAGAATTTGAGGCCTGACCTGGGGACTTCTTGAACCTTCCAGCAGTAGATGTAAGAAATGGTATTTTAAGTGATGAATGGAGTGGAAGGCAATAGCTATAATCTTTCTCCCTCTACCATTTATTGCAGGGAATGCAAGCTCGGTTCAGTTTAAAAGGAGAATTGATTCCTGCAGATGCTGATTTACCAACACATCTAGGACTGCATCACCATGGAGAAGAGGCAGAGGTAGGTGTAATACAGAAAAAAGGGCACGCCCATTTCTGTTATATGGGTTTGATTTGGCAGATTGCTTTTGTGTTGAGGTTTTTAATGACTAAAACCTCTGGGAAGTGAGGATGGGTGACTTTCTTTTGAATCTAGCTCCTGCAGAGAAGTTGAGTCTGCATGCATTAACTGCTTTACTTTCAGCAAACTCCAGTCATGCTTTTTCTCTTTAATGTCATTAAGGATATTCATGTTGGAAAAAGCTGCACATACATGCTTTTCTTAAGAAGCTCATTTTTCTCTTGTCACATCAATGATTTGAATCTCTTTTGCAGTTGCCTCAAAGCAACACACAACGTTGCATTTCAGTTCATTTCCCATTATGCAGTATTTTACAGTCAATCTTATTTTAAGAGCCTATTTTTACCTATAGCTGATTTGTTTGTTTTGTTTTCTCATTTAGAGGGCTGGTTATTCTCTCCAAGAGCTCTTCCATTTGTCTCGCAGCCAAGTTATTCAACAGAGGACACTGGCTCTACAGGTCTTAGGTCGTATTGTTCAAAAGGTAAGTCACTTTCCATGAAATTTCTTGTCATAATTCAAGTTTCTGGTGCATCACGGCCTGGGTTCTCTAGTACTAGTTGTTTGAGTTCTACTTTTCGATGAAGGTGAGCAAAATCACCAGCAGGGCATTCTTTTTCACTGAGCATCACCTAGCTGTTAGGAAAGATAAGTGTCGGGACATTACAAACTGAGTTTCAGGTTTCTCTGGAGGGAGATGCTTCCAAGTGTTGTTCAGCAGCAGTGCTGCAACTTCCATTCTGTTAGTGCTTTGGACACAGGTTCTTTTTTTGGTGTTATTTCTGTGACAAACCTATCTTTGGCAATGACCATTTCACTCCTGTTTTCTGAGCCAGCTTATGATGTGTTTTTTCTGTAGGAAGTGAGAATGAACCAGCCTACTCATAGAACAATGTGCCAATAGCATAAAGCAAAATGAGTATTTACTTCTGTGCACAGTTCCACCAAACTCTTAAGGGATGTGCTAACCTTCCCTCCAACAGTGGTGGAGACAGGGAAGAAGAAAAAGTGTGGTTTTCAGAAGAATGATAGAGCAGAACAGGGTGAAGTCAGAATGTGGGTCCAGACTTGAGAAAGAGAGGTTTCCTGCACTAAGGAACTGGAGTTTTGTGCCTTTGTAGGATGAAAGGAGGAGAAAATACAGGAAAAAAAACCCTGCACACTGTTTAGCTTCTTTACAGTAGAAATAGGAAGAGGTAAACATGCAGAAGGTTGAGATGTACCAGCTGAGATTGGGCAGCTCTAACACTGGCTCTGTGTGTCATATGTTTCAGGCCAGAGCTGGAGAGTTTGCTGCCTCCTTGAAGGGCAGCATTCTGCAACTGCTGCTTGATGCTGGGTTTCTCTTCCTGCTGCGCTTCTCTCTGGATGATGCAGTGGATAATGTCATGGCAGCATCTGTTGGCGCTCTGCGGGCTCTGCTGGTGTCACTTGATGATGAGGTGAGACAATCGTGAAGTGCCTGGGCTTGATTTCATGTTGAGCTGAGGAATAATATTTTATAATATAAAACATTTTGGAGGAAGTAGGTCTGCTATGGGAGCAATCCACTCTGTGGAAAGTTAATCTATTGCAGTATTACCTCAGGACTTGAGAGTATCTGACACTGTCATTAGCTGTGAACAAAAGAGGTGGGGTTTTTTATTTGTTGAAGCTGTTCAAAAAGCCAAACAAACGTTAACAGATACACCAGACAGTCTTTAACTTAACTTAATAGCAATTTTTATGTGATCATTTGGTATGATTCAGTAGTTCCACACAGGTCCAGAAATGGGAATAGAGTCAGTAAATGGCAAATTCCAGTTCAACTTCTAGAGCCTTGGTGATTTTTATTTATTTTTGTCTTAAACGTTTTTTTCAGTTTCTGTTACCTATGTAGTGAATTTCATTCACCTCAAAATAACTGCTTTTCATTATTTCCTGAGTGTGTGTGGGTCATAGGGTAAAATCACTTCTGTGAAAAAGCATGGCATTCTATGTGGACATGTTTAGAATACTCCTTATTGTGCTTCTGTTTTCCTGGGGTTAGGTGGGAATCAATAAAGCATTCCATAATTAAAAGCATCCTTGAAAACTTTTGTCTTCCATGATGTGAGAATGTGAGAATTTTATGCTTTTACTCTTGTTGTAGAAATACCTTGATTGGACTTTCTCATGGTATCAAGGGATGGCTACATTCCCCTTTGTCCCCAGCAATGAAGAGGAAGAAGAGGAGGAAGAGGAAGATTTAAATGGAACAGATAAGTCTCAAGATAAAAAATCAAAGGATGAAAACAAGCCAGATCCAGATGTGGCCCGATATGATGTTGTAAAAGTAAGCACAGAGCTATACCTGAAATCTTTTTAGGAAGTTCTGCACAGTGGCTGTCTGTGGTGTGAAACATCTCTCCTGTGGGTGCTATTAAGAACATTCTGAACAAGAGTTGGAGCTCTTCCCTGGCTTTTGAATGTTATGTTTCTGTCATATATTACTAGGAGGGTAATTTTACTGATCTCTCAAAATGTTGAGACTTGTCCTGTGTGATTTCAGTGTCATTAAGTATTTCTAACTGCCTGTTAGAGATACAACAAGCACATGGATGACCACGTACGACTTGCTGAAAGACTGCCTGCAGACATGATGTTCAGGCTCACTTACTTGAGCTGGAAGTGAAAAGGTTCCAGACACTATTGAAGTGTCTGCAGACACTTATGTGAAGTTAAACATGAATATTACAGCTAGATACTTCAGAACTACTTAGGTTTGAACAATTATATTATTTTTGTATTCAACATAATGGTTGGAGAGCAGCCCTGAGGAGAAGGACTTGAGGGTGGTAGTTGATGAGAAGCTCGACATGAGCTGCCAGTGTGTGCTGGAGCCCAGAGAGCAACTGCATCCTGGGCTGCATCAAAAGAAGTGTGGCCAGCAGGGCCAGGAAGGTGATTCTGCCCCTGTGCTCTGCTCTGGTCAGACCCCACCTGGAATATTGTGTACAGTTCTGGTGCCCTCAGCACAAGAAAGATACAGACCTGTTGGAAGGGGTCCAGAGAAGGGCTACCAAGATGATCAAAGGCCTGGAGCAGCTCTGCTATGAAGACAGGCTGAGAGAGATGGGGCTGTTCAGCCTGGAGAAGAGAAGGCTCCAGGGAGCCCTTATAGAGGCCTTCCAGTACTTGAAAGGGGCCTCCAGGAAGCTGGGGAGGGGCTTTTCGTTAGAGAAGATAGTGATAGGACAAGGGGTAATGGTTTTAAACTGAGAGAGGGAAGATTTAGGTTAGATATTAGGAAGAAGTTTTTCACTACAAGGATGGTTAGGAACTGGGATGGGTTGCCCAGGGAGGTTGTTGATGCCCCATCCCTGGAGGTTTTTAAGGCCAGGTTGGACAAGGTTTTGTGCGACCTGGTCTAGTGGTAGGGGACCCTGCTTATGGCAGGGGAGTTGGTACTTGATGATCTTTGAGATCTCTTCCAACCTTAATGATTCTGTGATTCTATGACATAAGAGGGCTATTGCATTTCTCAAATTTCACTCTTCATATTTGCATTTTTCAGATACAGTGTTACAGCATTAGGAGGGAATTCCTCACATATTTAAGCCTAATCCTGCATTCCTGAGAGAAGATCTAAAAATAGCAATCTTCGCTATCTCAAACCCAACCTTGGTGGAGATAATGTAACTCTCTTGCCTGCTACAATCATTAAAACCTGTGATCACATTAGTTAATCTATATGCTTCAGCCTGTATTTGAATGGGACTTGATTAAAAGCTGAACTGTATGAATTACTGTGCTTGGGCATCTGATCTTGTTTTGAGTTTTTGTGATTTCAGATGTATTCTTCTAGGTGGCACTTAAAAACGTTTAATAAAAGAGTTAGAAGAGATGAGATCAGTTTGTGATTCTGGAAACAGTTGTATGGTTCAGCATAAGGAATTTTAACTTATTCCAAGTGGCTTAAATTCAGCAGATATTTGGGATAAAATATCTAATGTTACAGTTGTTGTGAAATTCCATTTCACATCTGCTAATTGGCTGCTACAGCCCAATTACTCCACACAGTTAGAAACATAAGTATTTAAAGTGGCAGCTGAACTTGGTCAGGTCTAGAGCTACAACTTTGCTTGGCTACAATTTTTAAAACTATTGATACTATGAACTTAGGTGTTGTGAAGTTGTGTTTTCCTAGAACTGGGAATGCATAATGCTGTCACTTAAACTGAAGATTTGTTTCCTAGCACCACCACTGATAGAGCGGTCTTCTGCTCTGTGAACCATAAAACAAAAATAACATTATGCATCTCTCTTTTCCTACTGCAGGATAGGGATTGGTTCTGCTTTCTGCTTCTCTCAGCTTTCTCTGACATAATAGGTACTATCAGACAGGGTGCTGCATTAGGTGGAGGTGGTGTCTGACCAAAATGATTCAAGGAGTACAAGAATCCTTTTCAGCCTTGTTAGGTTTTAGTAGTCCTTCATAGGGAATGTTGTTTTCCTCTTCCTTGTTACTTAGAATTTCTTACTCTGGATGACCCAAGTATCCAAACCCCACCAGTGGTTTGATGTGGAACATATGTTAGTTACTTACTATTAGCTCTCTTGAGCTAATTCTTGCTCATTTGTGAGCATACCGGCAAATTCTCAGAAACATACTTGTTTCCCCACTGGTAAGCTTAACACCTTCTCTCTGCAGAAGAGGTAATTGAATCTGCTTTTGTCTTCCAGCAGCTGCAGTTCAGAGAGCAGTCATAAGGAGCACAATGGATTTTTTTTCTCTTCTTCTCCTTTCAGGGACTTTTGAAGACACGGATCCAGCACCGGCTGAGGTACATCCTAGAGGTGGTACGACCTGTTCCAACAGTAGTCCTGGATATACTGCACATCCTTACCCACATAGCAAGGCACTCCACTGAAGCATGTAACCAGGTAAATCTTCTGTTGTACCAAAACTCTGAAATGGTAGAGAAAGGTTTGAAAAAGGGAAGAAAGACACAGGTAAAGTTATGACAACAAGATTAGACACGTGTATTTTCCACATGTCTTCTGCATGTTTGTAATGGCCTACCATTAGTTATTTGTGCTGCCTGCTGTTTCTGTGCAGCTGCTTGACTGTCCTCGGTTGATTGAGACCATTGTCAGAGAATTTCTCCCTACTCAGTGGGATCCCCAAGTGGCTGAACCAGGTTACTTGCTCACCAGTCTCCATGGAATTGCTTGTGCCACTGCTATGAAGTTCATCAGAGTATTGGCATCTGGAGGCCGAAATGCAACAGCCAGGCTGGTGAGTGATTCTCAGAAGAGCTCTTTTGATTGCAAAAGCCTTTGTTCTCTGTGCCTTACTTTCTAAATAAAGATGAATGATTAATTGGAAGTGACTGAGCTGAAGCTGAAATAGTCGTCGTGAAGAAGGTATGTATGTCTTTTGAAGGATCTGTTGACAACATCATAGTAATGATGCCTTCTACTGTGTACCAGCAGAAGAGCCATCTCAATATTTTCTCTGCTTTTTTGTTTTATATAGCACAGTTATGCAAAATCACATAGCACAGCTCAGTGATACTGACCAGCATCAGATGTTTAGAGCACACACTGGTGTGCGTGCTCTTCTTTCATGTTCCAATGGTAGGCAGTTTAGGACTGTATAAAGCAGAGATTTAATCCCTATCCTTGTGTTTTACAACCCTGGTTGATCTTTTCTGCCATTCATTTGTCTTAGTAACTCTGGGGTAATTTATCAGTATTTCCACCTCCTTTTATCTACTTCTAGACAGGTTTTCCACTTCAGAGATAATTGCATTCATTCATACAGGTCATCACACTGGTGCTATAAATGCATAAAATCTACCAAGAGCAGCAACCATTACAGTTCCATGAGCACTTCTTAGGGCTTTTGGTTCAGTATTGTTAATAGCATGTAATAAATTGCCATCAGCAAATTGCTAACATCAGCACAAGAACACCTGTGTGTGTATAAAATACATTGAATAATGTGCTGATAATGGATAGTGAGATACGTAAAGACTGCAAGTGGTGCTAGGAACATAATAGAAAAATCTCTGAATTTTACTCTATTTCAGGCTTTGTGTACTCCAGGTGCTTCAGTGCATGTAAGAACTGCCTACAAGGTTCCTGCCACTCAGGTTTAGGTTCTGTTGCACTTGCATATGGCTTTTTACAGGCACTTAAACACAGGAATGGATAATAAAAAATAAATAAAAATTATCAATGTCAAAATTTATTTTAGCCAACAACAAAATTCTTCCACCTTCCTCCTCTGGAAGTAAATTTGACTTTGTCCTGTGTTCTGTAGGAGGGGTGTCAGAATTGACAGTTGATTCATGAGCTCCTTTTGCTTTCTTGCTGGTGTGCATTGATTTCCCTA